AAACCTAAATCCAACAAGTTTAAGAAGAAAGGACCTGCTAAAGTTTCACAGGTCACAAATGATGAAAAGAAGGAAAATCGGGCAAATTAATGTTATTTCTGTAGAAAAGAAGGTCACATACAGAAAGATTGCTTGAAACGCAAGTCTTGGTTTGAAAAGAAAGGTATTTCTAATATCTTTGTATGTTTCGAATCAAACTTGTCTGAAGTTCCTTCAAATACTTGGTGGTTGGATTATGGTGCTACAATTCATGTTTCTAATGTGATGCAAGGATTTCTTACAATCCAAAGCATAAACCCAAATGAGAACTTTTGTTTATGAGGAACCGTATGAAGGCCCCAATTGAAGGTATAGGGACTTATCGTATTGTTTTAGATTTCGGGTACCACCTGGATCTTTTACAAACTCTCTATGTACCTTCATTTCTAGAAACTTAATGTCTCTTTCTAGACTTGATGTTCTTGGGTTTTCCTTTAAGTTTGGAAATGGATATTTCAGTTTAATTAATAAACATGATTCCGTTATTAGTTATGGAATCCTTATGGATGGTTTATATGAACTGAAACTTTATGTTGATTTTTCTGCATCATTGATGTGTGTTCATCAGAACATTGAAGTTAAAAATGGTATAGCAAATGAGAACTCTGCTTTCTTGTGGCATAAATATTTGGGTCATGTATCCAAAGAAAGAATGCAAAGGTTGGTGAAAGATAAGATTCTTTTGGATCTAAATTTTACTGATCTTGGGTTGTGTGTGGATTGCATTAAGGGAAAGCAAACCTAACATACCAAGAAAGGAGCCACAAGAAGTAGTCAGCTTCCTGAAATTATACACACCAATATATGTGGATCTTTTGATGCTTCATCCTTCAATGGAGAAAAGTATTTCATTACCTTTATAGACGATATTTTCACGTTATGGATAGGTCTATCTGTTCAAAGAACAATCTCAAGCTGCTAATGCACTTGAGGTTTTCATCAATGAAGTTGAAAGGCAGTTAGACATAAAGGTGAAAATAGTAAGGTCTGATAGAGGTGGTGAATACTATGGAAGGTATGATGAATCGGGATAAAATCCCGGTCCATTTGCTAAGTTCCTTGAAATACATGGTATATGTGCACAGTATAATACTATGCCAGGCACACCTCAACAAAACGGTGTAGCGAAAAGGCGAAATAGAACATTAATTGATATGGTTAGGAGTATGATAAGTAATACATCATTACCCAAATCTTTGTGGATGTATGCACTTAAGACTGTCGTGTATCTGCTAAATAGGATTCCTAGTAAGGCAGTACCTAAAACTCCTTTTGAGTTATGGACTGGAAGGAAACCTAGTTTGAGACACCTACATGTTTAGGGTTGTCCAACAGAAGCACGAGTATACAACCCACATGAAAAGAAATTGGATTCTCGAACTGTGAATGATTACTTTATTGGTTACCTAGAGAAGTCCAAAGGGTATATGTTTTACTGTCCTAATCATAGTTCTAGAATCGTTGA